CGTTTTTCAACAAGGCGTCGCTGCCTATATATACCAGTTTTCATTTGTTCCCCCATTAGAATTGCTTTATCAGCAGCGAAATATCATTATAGTAAGTTCTTAACCTTATACATTATATCACCAGACCTTATATTAATACTTCATTGTATCATTGTTAGATTATTTCACAGCATAATTATATCATCATTTACTTTTTTCAATTAAGGCATAAGTGTATCATTTTTCATTTCCTTGATTTTAAGCAGGCCTTTGATTCAATATCCAGGATCACCTTCTGGGAGAAATTAAAATGCACCACTATCAGTAAACACCTCCTCTTCCTCATGCAAAGATTGTATGCCAATTCCACCTTGAAAGTGAGGCGTAATCCCCAAGGGAGTTTAACCGGCACAGTAAGGGTACAAAAAAGGGTACGGCAGGGTTGCATCCTGTCCCCCGTCCCTCTTTAACTTCTATATATTAATCCCCTGGTTGATCTCTTACAGAACCCTGATTTCCATCCTCCTAACCTAGCACAACGCAAAGTTCCAATTCTCTTGCATGCTGATGATGCCGCTATCATTTCACAAACCCCTGTAGGACTGAAGAGGGCAATTAGGGTAACACTTGGCTATTGCAGGCAAAACAAGCTAGTCCTTAACTTCGATAAATCAAAAAAATTTAAGTTTTTGATAAAAGATCTAGCCAATACCCTTGGGAAATAGAAGGACATAGTTTGGAACAGGTAATTCTATAAGGGGCACAAACAGGAATCCTTGCAAAGAAAGACTTGCTAGAAACTATACAAACCAACTGGATGGGGGCACGTTCATGTGGGGGGATGATGTGAGAGGGTCGTGTGCGTATGCGCGGGGTTGCACGTGCATTGCATTATAGGTGTGCGCGCCCGCTTGCTTTCAGTACTCGGCGCCTAAAACGTTAGCCCTCACTGCCCTATACCTTGGAGAGCTGCTGAAAATGCTGTCGTTTCCTAAGGTCACGTCATATGAAAGGATGTTGTAGTAGTTGGATAATCTATTTCGGATTATTTTTGCAAAAAGCAACACACTGAGTTCTAAATTTTATTCACACAGATTAAGGAAGCCGAGGCTAGAGCTGCCATCGAAGAGGAAAAACGAAGACAGCAGGTAGGCGCCCCAACTCTTATTTCCACCCCATAGGATAAACTTTTAATATGTTCTTGCCGTGAACTAGACATTTCAGATTAAAGTAACCTCGTGGAATTCTAAACAAACCAACTTCATTCAGCGGATTTATTGTGTTTGAGACACCAGTGGCACACCCTTACACAATTGATTCTGCTTAGCTCCTCCTGCCTAGCGCACGCGTGCTGGAAATGACATGCAGAGCCATCTCTCTGGGCACGTGAGCCATTGCCTGTTGCTCTTCCGGGTTCTGGCGTGCTGGCCAGTTGGTCTTTATGCACTTGGGAGTGCCGGAAACCGGAAGGACAGCCGCCCGGTGCGCATGCGCGTGCCAGTAAAACCTTGTGGTTTCCAGTGGGTGCATGCGCACCGGCCAGCTGGTCTTCGTGCGTGGATACGTGCCAGCAACCGGAAAACCAGGTTTCTGGCGTGCATACGAAACCAGAGGGTCATCTTCCCTGCGTGCACATATGCACCGGCCAGCTGGTCTTCACACGGGCATGCATGCCAGAAACCGGAAGACCAGGTGGCAGGTGCGCACACGTGCGCTAAAAAGCGGAAGATCATCTTCCCGGCATGTGCATGCTCCTCTCCTGGTGGCTGCTCTTCCAGTTTCCGGCATGCATGTGATGGGTTATGGCTGGTACGCCGTAGAACGGGCTGTTCCAGTACGGTGCTCAGGAGGGCTCACCCGCCCGCCATCCTTACTGTATTTGAGCTCTTCGGGGCTTCCACGCATGGAGCGTACGGCGCCTGTGTGACACTCCGCTGAGCAGCTGGAATGTCGCGTCATCGTCGCAGAACGTCACAGGTGGTAAGTACACATGCATGAATGCTGCTCAAGAGCCATGGTTTGCTGACTCCTGGACTATCCCATTTCTTTCCTTAATAATCATCGCCAAGTCAAACCTTGGCATTGTTCCATTTGCACAGAGCCATTGTATCATACAGCCTATTATTTTGAGAAATAAGTGGGGGGAAACTGGTGAATTCTATTGTTAATTTTTTTTATCGTTTCAATGTCATCCTTTTTCTCTTTCTCTTTCTCTTTTGCAGGCAGAACTGGAGGCTTTTGAAAACAGGTTGAAAGGCCGTCGGAAGAACAAGAGGAAAAAGGATGAGATCGAAGTTGAACCACCTTTATGGCAAAAGTACAAGAATGTGATTTTGCTGCCTGTCTGTGGAATTATTGTCTTAATCATTGCCTGGTTCCTAGCATACAGAAATTGAACTCTTAGATACTTCCGCATGCTTNCTATGCTATGCTATGCTATGCTATGCTATGCTATGCTATGCTATGCTATGCTATGCTAAAATATAACTATACACTATACATTGTACTATACAATATACTATACTATTACTATTACCATACCATACCATACACCATACAATACTAATACTAATACATATAGTATTTGTTTATACACAAACATGTACAATTGTATAGTTTATATCTTTCTTTTCTGGAGAAGTCATCCCATTCTTTGTGTCATTTACTACACAAACATACACACACAGAGAAATACATTTATTATCACTTATCATTATTTTTCTTAATGCAAGAGGGGAATCCAGAGTTCAGGGCTGCTGTGGATTGGCGGGGGAGGGGGGAATAAAGAGATGCATAACCAGGCTCAGCCCCCACCTCCCTAAAATGTCAAAGAGGACCCCCCCCCCTTTTTACCCTTGGAGGGGGAGATGAAGGCTCAAAGACCAAGGATATTATGGGATGTTTGCAGTCCCTTGCAGAACAGAAGACCACAATCCCTATTCACCTGCTGCGGGTGATGGGATTTGGAGTAGAGCATGTTGGGGGAAGGATGCAGGATTCGAGTTGGGGGCCTAAAAGGGCCACAGGAAAGCAACTAAATGCATTTCAACAATCATTTTTTTATTTTTTTATTTGTTTATAATAACAATAAAGCTTTTTAGTGACCATGAAACACCCCCCACCCACCCACCCCCTGATTTCCCCCCCACCCCGCACTCACGACTCGGTTCTGGTCTGTGACAAACTCGTCGATGTTCTCCAGGTAAAGCTCATCCTCCACAGCATCCCTTCCCCTCCACGACCCTCCACCGCCGCCATGGCAATGTCAGGCTGTGATCCCTGCTTTTGTGCGAGATTTTTCCTTGCACACAACAGCTGAGAGATGCTCGCAGTGGGGTGCAATTTGGGCTCACCTCCCCCAACCCAAAGGCCCTCCTGCCTGCTTGCCCAGCGCTCGCTCAGCTTCCCCCTCCAATCCTCCGGCTGGATGCAGCCACTCGCTCCTAGCTCCTACCCACCCAGCCGCCCCCCAACATCCCCCCGCCTCGGCACAGCCACTCACCAGTTCTTTCTTCTTCTGGTTCCATCACTGGAGGCTTTTAAAAGGGAGAACTTTTCAGTGGCCAGCTGGCAAAGAAAGCTCTCAGCCATGACCGGCTCCCTTCGACTGGGTGGGCAAAGGAAGTGGGTGGGCGGGGCAAGCATGGTGTGGACAGGCGGGGNGAGAGACAAATCGCCTGGAATTTGAGCCTTTGCTGTAGCTAGACAGCTGAAGAGCGAAGCCAGGGTGAGAAGAAACTGAGAGGGTCCTGGAAGGGTGATTATTGGAGAAAACACTACCCGGACGGCTTTGGGCGGAGCAGCTGTTCTGAGCGGTAGCAAGCAACTTGCGAGCGGCCTCCCCCCCCCCCCCCCCGGACGGCACGGGTGGCACGGGCAGTGGTTTCCAGCCGACAAACTGCAGCGGCTTGCCTTTGGGGCTTGTGAAGCGTCACGGGGGCGTGCATCTTCCCCCTCCTCTTGTGGAGGGTGGTTTCCAGCTGGCAGCAGTCCCAGCTCCGCTTTTAGATTGCCGCTGTCCAGCCAACACCACGGCCCAGCTGTTCTGGAGGGCTGGGCCGCCCGGGAATGCCATGGCCGCTTGGGAGTGCCACAGCCCAGCCGCTTGGGAACGCTGAAGCCGTCGAGAACGCCGCGATTTGAGAACGCCGCGGCCCAGCTGCCCTGGGGAGCCCCGATCACCGAGGCCATTCGAGACCGTTCGAGACCGCTGCGGCTTGGGAACGCCTCGGCTCAGCTTCTGGAGGAAGAACACCGAGGCCGCTTGTGAACTCCGCTTGAGAGTGCTGCTGGCCCAGCCGCCTGAGAACATCAAGGCCCCGTGAACGCTGCGGCTTGTGAACATCTGGAGGAGCCTACATGGGGGAGCCCCGACCCTACTGTGACTGCCACTAATCGCTGCGGTCTCAGCTGCTGGAGGTCCGTCTTGGGGGGACCCTGACCCCCATTTTGTTGCCTGACCGCCTCAACAGCTGCTGTGCCATTGCGGGGTTAGGGCTAGGGTCAGGGTTAGGGCTAGGGTTAGGGCTAGTTTAGGGTTAGGGTTAGGGTTAGGGTTAGGGCTAGGATTAGGGCTAGGGTTAGGATTGGGATTAGGATTAGGGTTAGTGCTAGGGTTAGGGCTAGGGTTAGGCCTAGGGCTAGGATTAGGGTCAAGGTTAGGACTGGTTAGGGTTAGTGTTAGGGTTAGGGGTGGGGTTAGGGTTACTAGCCCGATGGTTTGCTGGCTCGATGACGCCGCTTGAGAACATTGCGGCTCAGTTGTTGAGAGGGGTTCCCCCGCCTCTCTCCTCCCCCCTCCCCCCTCCTTGTCAGGGGGGTTGTACTCCGACCACTGCAATGCCGGCTGTTTGTTGACCATGACCGGCCTCTTGGTTTCCACTTTTATAACTGTTGCCAGCTACGGCTTTCTTTTCTCCCACCCATCCCTGCCCCTGCCTTGGTCCTCCGGACCATTACTGCAGAGCGAGCTGAGACTTCTGTTTCTATCTCCGCCCCCCCTGGGACCCCTGCTTGTGCTTTGGTTTATTATTCTGCGTTTTCATCCTGGCAGAAAGAGAGGGCAGGGGGCGAAGAGG